ATCCACAGTATGGCACGAGGAAGGTAACATCGTTTAGCTTTTGTAAGGCATCTATCCACACACGTATCTATTGTTTCAATTGGTTTCATTAAGCAAAGGTGCGCAAATAAAAGCTACTCACTCATAGAACTCATATGTTCTATTAAATAAATAAAAAGTTGAGGGTTGAATTAATTTACTGTGACGTTATTTAAATATAAGCAAAGCGAGTTATGAGATTTATAATGCATCAAAGCCAAAATGTGCGCATTTACTTTAAAATGTTTATATATATATACAAGTATATTTCAGTCTACATACTTTGAAGTAATAAATAAGCAAAAGGTGACAAATTTCGGTTGGGAAATTACCAAACTTGCGATTACCAGCAAGAAACTTAAAACTAACATATTGCAAGTACAGGAATTACGAAAAAAAAGAAAAAGAAAAAACAATCTGTGAAATACTAAAACAGCTGACATGAGCAGGTAGGACGGTAGGACAGACAACAGATAGTATCTTTGCGACGCTCAAATTACACTTGAAATATAATTTTATAAGGTTTACGTAAATTATGCTTCACATAAAAAGTAAAACGACCAGGAAATCGTGATTAAAAATAAATTAGTACATACATTATATTAACAGTAATAACAAAAATCTAAATAGAAATCAAATATAAAACAGGCATTATACATTACATTATATATCACAGTACAAATACATAATCATAAACAATTTTTATGTAAGTAAAAAAGAAAATCTACAAAAATAAATCTCTGTATTTTAGTACCTACTGCGCGAATTTATTTTGGTATCTATCTTTCGGGTTTTGTAAACAATGAAAGGTTCTTGAAGCGAATCTCAAACTTCTAAATTGATTTTTTCTTATCAAAGAAAAAATAAATAGAAATATTTATGTTTAAATTGAAGTTCGTTATTTATTTAGAAATAATTATATTCTCAAAATAGACACGAGCAGTATTGTTTGTAAACAATACAACTTAGCAACGAAATGCATTATAAGCAATAAATTATACACAAATTTTTATATATAGACACATAAGGGTAAATATATTAACGTTTCCTTTAGTTTAAAGTTGGAAAAAAAATAACTTTAATAAAAAAAAAACTGATTCTCAAGATTAAAGTTAATAGTGAGAGATCACGTTTTATACATAAATTATAGGTAAATTATCGAAACAAAGGATATATTAAGGTCATAGTGTTTTTGTTCAAGAATTCTGCACTTATTATTTATAATAAATATCTATTATCAAACAGAACAACGATAATAAAATCAAAACGATTACATTAAAAGCAATATATTGAAATTTAGACATTTTATAATCATATTATAGCATAATTAAATTAAATTTTATAATCATATTATATCATAATTATATTATATAATAATTATGAAATTAAAACAATTATACGAAAAGTAATATAATAGAATAAATTATAAAAAAATTTTGCTCTGCCAGTCAAGCAATAAAATGTTATATTTTGTCCTAAAAATCGCAATTTGTTCCTAACTTCTTCATATCAACTTAACAAGACTTAAGTGATCGTTCAAAAAAACTGCAACTTAAAAAATATTTGCACTTAATTATAAGCGCTTAATTATTTTATTTTATTTGAAAAGATCGGTTATTGTCTGTTATCTAGACATATTGTTCAGACGGACATTAATATATCCCTCTGTCTGGTCATGCTGATTAAGGTTACTCGTATGTATGGTATATGTGGTCTTCAATGCATTGAAAAAATAGAAACAAACCCAATTGACCTTTTATTTATAGCAATTTAAAGGCTAGGATTAAACTACAATGTGTTTCACAAGAAATTATCTTTAATTTCGGGACATTTTTTTTTGCATCTAATCATTATGCAGTGGCCTGTGTTGAGTTAAAAGATCAGTGAATAGATTTCGTAACTTTGCAAACAAAATAGATGAATACTTGTGTAGAGAAATAGAAAGATTACACAAAAGAAAAGAAAAGTAAAGAAAATAAAAAAAAAACGAAATAAACAATTAACACAAAAAATAAAAAGCGCGCCAACGCCTTTTCATCTTAAAAAAAAATCAAAATGACCTCTAAGGTGTTACATTTTTGTATATAAATTATTTAAAAGGTTATTGTCATCATTTTAAAAATATTTTCAAATGAGTTGTATAGAAAAACATTTTAATTTTGCTAAATAACAAACATCTTAGAATGTAGATAAAGATACATATTTGTATAAATATATATAAACAAAATAAAGGTGAAAAAATTATTAATGAAGGTTAATATAAAAAAACAAAATATATTAAAAATATATAATAAATAAATAAAAATAATAATAAATTAATTGAATAGAAAAAAGTAAATAAATAATTAAAAAAATAAATAAATAATTAAAAAAATAAATAAATAATTAAAAAATAAATAAACAATTAAAAAAATAAATAAATATAAAATTAAATTTAAAACAATGTTATAAAGAAAATATTTAAAAAAATTTTATAAAGACTTGCAGCCTCAAAAAATTATTTACGAATAATTAAATACAAGAATTATTTCCAAGACCACTGATCATGGGTATTTGGTAATACTCGAAACAGCTGTATGGTCAGCCAAAAATTCAATTAATTTAAATAATATAAAATAAATTTTTGTTGTTGTCGTTCACTACTGTTCGAAAAATCTCTATATAATTATTACTACATTTATTATAAAAGAAATGTAAAAATTATATTATATTATTATATAAAAATTGGAATGCAGAGAATAAATAAGTAAATACCGCTTTTTACTAATAGCTAAAATTTAAAATAAAATTTAAATATTTAAAATGAGAAGAAAATAAAAATTATTTAAAACGGTTTTTATTCAAACATTTTCTTTAAACAATTGATATTACGTAAATTATTTTGCACAAAATTAGAAAAAAAAACATCTAAATTAATTCGGAAGTAGACAAAAGCAAACTCAAAACAAAATGTTTAAATATTTATATTTGTAAATGTTTGTGTTTTTATGAAAATGTATATTATTTATTTATATTTTTGTTTGTGTTGTGCTGCTGCATACATAGTTTGAATTGTCAATTAGTTTATAACCCTCAAAAATTTTAAAATAGTAGAAAAAAAAAAAAGAGTAGGTTATGTTGACATTTTTGACCTACAAAAGTTTAAACAATAATTTTAGTATGTAAACAATAATCGAATATAAAATAATGTAATACATAAAAAAACAAATATTTGAAAAGTAAATAGAAACAAAGATTTTTAATTTTAAACAAAGATTTTAATGAAATATATACATTACTAGACACTAGATTAAACACTAGAAAATATATTTCCTTCCAATTGTTATAAATTGAAAATAAATGGAGAATGAAGTTTTCGATAGCGAAATTAGGCTATTTATATATTCCTTGCGTTAAAATTTGATCCATCATATGTAATTAAAATTTATTAAAAAATATATTTTTTAATACCATCTCTCCTGATTTTTTAATTTTTTTTAAATAAGATAACTATTATAAGATGGGACTACTCTTAAGAGGGATATATATATTTTTATTTTTATTAAAAAAATGTTCATATGAAGCTTGCTTTCTTTTTACAATGAATTCTATAGAAAATGTACTATGGATCCTCGACCAAGCCATATAATTCAAACATTGCTTTCTCATAGTTGCTAAACTTTTAAAAAATATTTGTTTAAAAAGCCCACATACTTTTTTTTAAAGTTTTGAATTCTTATGTGCTCGATTATTATGTACAACATTATATTGTCTTATCATATAAATTGATGTAGTGGTACTTATTTATAACAAATTCAAATACAAATGGAGAGGTACAGTACAACTTTAGGGCGCTAAACAGACTGTACCCTAACTGAGGCAGGCAAAGAGACCAAAACAATTTTTCTAATGGCATTTATTATAAAAAAGCTTCGGACAAAATAAAAAAAAATCCGATACACTATAAAATACTTTGTTGCTGTAATTAAATATTTTAAATTGTTTATTTCAAAACTTTGTTTAACCAATTGAAAACAGAACATAAAACTGATTAAAAATTTAAATTTATTTATAAATAATAAAAATAGAAGTCTCCAAAATGTTAGTTGATTTTCTAAAAGACACTACAATTTCAGTTCGACTATAACCCTTTGCAATAAGATTAAGTAAACAAGTTTTATAATGAATTACTAAACTTTTAACATAAAAAATAAATTTAATATATAATTTTATTTTCTTAAATAAATATTTTTAAATTACTTTAAAATACAATAATAATTGTCTGACGCAATTCTCTAAAAACCTGATTAAAAAATAAACTGTTATTGTATGCGTACGTACGTATACGACTCTGTGCATTATTTGTATTTGTCAAACAAGAATACAAAAGCATAAGAACAACTTGGAAACGAAACAATAAAAAGAGTAATACTTTATTTATTGTTTATTATGCTTTATATAAATAAATAAAACTGTATTGAAAAAATATTTTATTTCTTCTGATTATTGTGTATTTTAGTTAAAAGATATATATTTATTACATTTCCAGATTATTTAAATTAATGCACTTTGTACTCAGAATATAAGGATAGAGGTGTAAAGAAGCAACATAAAAATCAGCAGTTTCATACACGTACACAAATTTATACTGTTAGATATATGTATGAATGTATGTATGAAAGCATAGATGGTAAAAATTTCAATTTGAAGGCAAAAAAAAGCCTAACATTAACACCTACATTTAACATTAAAACAAAAATTTATATTATTTCCATAAAAATGAAAATAAACTTTAGTTTTAATAAAACCCACTGTTATTTCATTAATTTTTGTAATATTACATTTTTTGAGATATTTTTAGTTTATCAACATTTTAGAGCTCAGAAAAATTTCTCTACGTTTTTTATTTGTTAAACGTACAAAGCAGCAAAATTTTCGAAAAACAAATTTAATTTATTAAAAATAAAAACAAATAAAATTACAAAAAAAAAAGTTGTGCTTACATTTTGACAGCCATTTTTGTATTGCGCAGGAATGTTTACTTTCAGCAGATTTTATTGTATTGCACGAATGGTGATTTAAATTTATTAAAATGATTTATACTATAAATTATTGGCCATTAAGTCTAATTTTTAACTAATTTGTACTTTTTAAAGTTATCACAAAATTGAGAATAAAAAGAAATGCAGTTTAAAATTCCATTTGTTTTGTTTGTTTTTGGAAATTATTTTCCACTTTCAGTTTGCTTTTTTAGCGTTTATTTTTTTTCAAGTGAACATTTTTTAATCGATTTTCTTATTCCATTTTATTTACTTTTTATTAATTTATTAAAACATTTTAATGCTTTATTAAAAATATATTATGATTCTTATATTTTATTTAAAAAAACTTGAATTGCAAATATTTCTTTTTTTTTTTACTTTACTACTTTAAGCAGCGACTTCTATATAAAACGTACTACTTGTATTCTGAATTGTCAAATGTAAACTGAATACATTTCTACCCCGATCTTGTTCATGAAGTATAGCGAAACAAGTATAAAAGAGCAAAACAAAGTGAAAATCTGAAAATCCAACAACAACAAAGCTACAAACACTAATTTCACTACAGGTATATTTTGAATTTGAAACAAATATGGCTGCCACTTACATACAATGGCAAAATTTCAGTTTGTTTTCGTTTCATTTTTAATATGGAACAAGTTGTTTTTATTTCTGTAGGTATATTTATGTTGTTGCTACGCTTTTAACACTGTAACCAATTCAAAGCCACAGGAGTGAATTTTACAGTTGAAAATAATGTCGCCCTAACCAATATATAATTATTCGCATTTTAATGTTTTTTTCCTCCTGTATGTAAAATCAAAATTACATGCAATTTTCTCCTTATAAATACTTTACAAAAAATTTTGTATTGAGTTATAATTTTTAGTTGGGTTTTTATTAAAGAAATGTAATCGATAATACAGTCTCAGGTTGATGAATTCATTATATATTAAGGAGTTTTTTAAATAAAATTTATTAATATAATATATAAACAAACAGCACGAATGAAGTCCCTCTAAGGGATGAACTTTTTTTTATATCAAGAGTAGTATAAATTTCAACCATTCTACTTGCTTAATAAACAGATTTATATATTTCTCAACCTTCTGAGAGACTTAAATCTATTTATTAAATATAGAAATAAGTATGTTAATCATTCACTATCAATGATTCAATTTGTATATATATATTTTGTACCATATTTAAAAAGCGAAGTACATTCAGAGTAGCTCGAAGTATCATTTTGCATAGGATAATTTGCACTCTAAACCCTGTTGCACTATATTTAGTTTGAATTATAGAAAATTCGAGTTATGGAAGTTTGACTGTACTTCCATGACCTTCACAATATCAGCCATGCAATTACCAATTTTTGTGATGAAATCATGTATATTGATTTATTTCAAAGCCATGCAAGGATAGCTTCTGCAAGTTAGTACGTATTCACAGCAAAGAAGAGAAAATAAATCAGTTTTGTGATAAAACTAAATAAACTGAATTTTTTTGCAAAACCAAAATCTGTCAGCGAATTTGTAATCGCAAATGGAATTTTGTCATCGCGCCAAGTAGCACGTAGAATTCAGTTACATACGCAACAGCTGTTCTGCAGTGTGAAATTTTTTATTACAAAAAGTAAAAGAAAGTAAAGAACACAAAAAAAATGTATAATGAAAGCATATTATATAATAATTTTATTATTCAATTATATATGCTGTATATGCAATAAACCCGAATATAGTAGAGATCGATCACATGACTATAGCTATAGACATTAATTGTTAAATTTACAAAATTTAATTATTAAAAAAATGTTAGTAATGAGTTCTAAATCGAAAAATTTTAATTATATTTAAAAGTTAGTTTTAGTTAAATTTAATTTAATTTAAATTTAGTAATAAAAGTATAGTAATGAACTTTAAATTAAAAGTTTACAAATATAAAAACTGTTAAATTGGTTAAATATTGTATTGGGTTAAAGATAAAACTGCTATAATAACTGATATAATGTACATATTTCAATCGATAAAATCTAAACAATTTTTATAACTTATTTGTTCTATGAATTATAATCTATCTTAATTCAATTTTAGAAAAATATATTAATAAGTGAAAATAATTATTTTTCACGAACTTAAGCCTAAACTTTCAAATTTAAATCTGAGCTAATATTATTTTAACTTGACAGATATAATCTACATATATCCTTTAAATGATTTAATTATTCTCTGAATGTAAACACCAACTTTTGATTGCATATTAACATCTTATATTATTTATCGAACTAAAATAATATTGCAATTCATTTTATTAAATATAAACCATAGACATAAGATGACTTATTTAGTTTTATTTGAAGAATTATCCCTTGGCACAGTTATTGTGATGACATAACTCATATATGTTATGATTCATATGCAATACTATGAAATATTTAGATCTGAATTTTGACAATAAATTCATTTGGAAATACCATATGAAGAAGGTAATTTTTACACAAACTTTAAAACAATTTTGCCCACTATTCAAAAGCAAAAAACCTGATATATAGAATGTTCACATATAATCATATTAACAGATCAGCTTTGGTGTATAATTTTTTCGCCTTTAGTAAAACAGTTAAAATGTAAAAATTCGAACAAAGTACACTAAAAAATATACTGAACATTTCCTGGTATGTCAAAAACTCTGATATGCGTATTAACATCATTACTAAGTACATAAAAGTTTAAGCTATTCAGAAAATATAGATAGTCATTAAAACAATTCTTAAACTCCGTCATCACATAGGAACTCAAATGATGGAAGAGAGATTTGCTAACATACGTACTATTATACTTTAAACAAGAAAAAGAGGTTTTAACAATTAAATTGAAGAATTAGATAGCCAGGTTCATTCACTGTTGATCAAATAAGTCAAATTGAGAAGTATAAATAAATACTAGACCTATCTTATATCTATTACTTACGAAAATGAATATGGTAAGTACCTTAACTTGTTTGCTTGAATATTAGCCATTTAATACACCTACACTTGCTTTCATGGTTCCATTAAATGGTTGAAACTAAATACCGGAACCATATGTCTTCACAAAAATTAGTTAGTACAAGACAAGCATTACTTTGACTATAGACTGGAATACGCAGTCTATAGGCTTCTAGAACTGGAAAATCATGGGAAGAAGTGAAAGCAGTTGCATCCAACAGAACAGAATGAAAGAATCTAATTGTTGCCCTTTTCTTTTCATAGGATCTACGGGAACTAATATAAACTTTAATAACAATGCTCAAATATCGTTCACCACTCCTGTCGGAGATATTTTGAGATACAGAAATTGAGTTTCAACAATTCAATTACATTGACTCCCCCACAACACCTATATCTTGAGTCCCATCCAATCATTCAATCAATTATAAACCATTTAATAGAAACACTGTAGCAACAATTTTAAATATAATAAAGTCACTAAGACATCAGCCAACATATTTCAACAGTACTCTACACCCAAAGTAGATGTACTTTACGAAAACCAATTAATATAATCTGATAATGCAATAGAATAGTGTATATTTTTTTGATTTATTATAATTGTATAAAATTCGCTAATTCGCTAATGTATTAGTCGATTAAATTAATTCTAATAATTAAACCTCTATTAACTATGGACTGTATTATATAAACAATTAAATTCAAGTTCAGGCCCATGAAGACCAATTAAAAATAGTTTATTTAAATTTTATTTATACATACATTTTTATATATAAGTATATATAAATTTGTATAAACATGAATGGGACGTATGGGCAGATCGTAAGAGACTCATACTTTGGATGGTATGAAACGATCGGACAGACACACACATACACAAAAATATGGTACTTCTCACATGCGTATTGAATTTACGCAATTGTGAGATATCTTATCTTTAGACTATTTCACAATATCCTAATTATTATAATTCCTGACATATATTACAAGGTTCAACTGCAAGTATTCATCTATCTATGCAATTTTATCTAATTAACACTTGTTGTCAAGTGAAATATTGATACTCTTCACCTCTTCATTAGCGTAAATGACGCACTGAAGTGCGGTACGCTTTTGACATTCTGCTCTATTCAATTCGGTTTCAATCTCGTTCAACCACAGCACCAACTTCACTAAATTAATTATTTATACTAATTCTGATATTTAAAATACTTTCACTTTTAATTTTGTAATTTCTACTAGTTAGTATTGAAATATATCTCACTTACCCGGATGCTTCTGTGTTTAGATTCAGATTTTTGTCTTTTTTTGATGTGTAGAACGAAAAGAAATATTCTCAACACGAATTGAACAAAAACTATGACATGGAAACTTTTGCTGCTTCTTGAAGTTTCTGACAGCACTTAAGTTAGTTGCGATTCCCTGTAAATATTAGAAAGTTTTCAATTTGACAATCATGCTGAATAAGTATTGTTTTTAAATATCCAACCATAAACTGTTTTTAACGTATATAAGTTACTAATACATAATTATTGTCTATTGTATAAATGTTTTTTGTGTTAATATAATTTATATTGTATTTTTGTTTTTATTTAAGTAAATATTAAATTTAAAATCGAAAGCTTTAAGACGGTTACATGAAAAATGCTTTAGGCCGCGTGCGAGTTAAGTAAATTGAAAATTATGTCGGTATGTCAGCGAATGTTGGTATTTACCAGAAATTCGAGTAGGGTAAATTAGGTAAAAATTAGATAAATTAGATATGAAAATTGTGACAATTTTATAAGATGTTTAAATAAATGAATAAATTTGGCAAAAAAAAACAGAAAAAAAATAAATAAGTGTAATACGGCATTTACACTGGCCGCAAATGGCTCATTTTGGTCAAAAATCGAAAATGAGAAGAGAATGGCTCATTCTTGCATATCAAAAAATTTTATTTTTAATTCATTTTAGAGATTTTAAACTTTTTAAACAAATCAAAGTAAGCATGAATAAATTTTAAATTTTTAATATAAATGTATATGGATACCAAAAAATAAAAAATTAATTAAAAAGACATTATCCAGTGGGCCAAATTGTGAATCCAAACCTTCCTTGAGTCCACTTGAACACACACAAAAAACTTCATCAAAATCGGTTCAGCCGTTTAGGAGGAGTTCACTGTCAACACACGTACAGAAGAATTATATATATAAGATATATATATATATTGTAATATATATGTATATATATAACATAAAATATGTGTTTTATAATGCGATAATATTGTATAATGGAATATATACAAAATATGGTCAAAAATAAATTGATTTTTATTGCTATTCAAAATTTTAATTAATAACAAAAAGTGCACTTTCTAATGTTTAATTTTACTATTGATTAATTAATTGTTTTTATTTCAGTTATATTTTTTATATGATTATATTCTTAAAACTATTTTCTATTGAGAA